TAGAAGCTATATCTAGTAACAATAATCTTACTATTGATAACAAATATGTGATCTGAACCCAATCAAACACAAAGCTCTGTACAATTTGTTCGTCTCCTCATCATAAAGCCAGTGAGTGTCCTAGAAAATAGAGAATCCCAGACAACCACAATATACAAAAATTATATTAACGCTTCCAACCGGCATAATTCACAAATTATAAAGTGCTGTTAAAATCCTTAAAAGATGCAGTTAATTCGAATGTTACCTTTACACACATGACTGAAAACTCTCAAGAATCCAAATCTTCTTCTAATAATGAGATAAGAGGACAAAAGAACTCGTATAATAAAAAACCTACACCAAGTAATACATATGAGACCAATGATGCATATAATCAACAAACAAGTTCATAGTCAGATGATATTCCTGATACTTTAAATGATTGTCTATTTGATCAATAAGTTATACAGTTATGCCAACCCCTCAATGTACTTGACGAATGGTACGATAAAAGGTGGATCTATGCATGAAAATAATCAGGATGATTTCAAAGAATTTGTCTGACAACAATTCACTGCACTTAATGACAACTTCTGCTATTTAGTAAAATCACTTGATTTCACAGTGCAGCATGTAGCCGCTATTGAGAAATCAATGAACATTAAAGTAGTTACTCCTTTAGAGGCAGATGCTAAGAACCTCAAAAGAGAAGATGCTGAAAGTATGACTTGTGATGAAATCGAACCTAAGATTTATACATCATCCTCTATTATTGTGCAACAATGAAAAACAATTAAGGGACTAAAAAGCATTAATCAGATGCATCAGAATCACTTTAAATCCTTCACAATGACGGTTAACACTTTAGTGAAATCTTGTGTGGCATTTCAATTCATTCTCATACAGAATAAATTGCTCCCTTAAGAACTCGCTAATAATATATTTCCTCTAGGAGATGCTTTCGATAGTAATGTTGATCAATATTTCACAATTTTAAAAGTTTTAATATGAACACTGTCATTACTGATTTTCCTGCACAAGATGCACATAATGATTTTCCTACTACTTCATATACCCCTCCTCATATTTCATTTGCCACTCATAATATTAGATCTTTTACTAATATTGCAAAATAAACCTCTGTTGTTGAATTTTATTCTTCACTCAACTTAGATATTATTGGGCTACAAGAAACAAATATTTCTTCTTTTTCTACACAAACTTTTAATCGCACGTTCTCATCCAATTTCTCTGGTTTCTTTGGTTCAATCTCGGATTCTCAACCTCAGAAATCTGGTTTCAGTATGGGTCTCTTACTTCATTCACATTTAGCGAATCACATTTTTCATCATGAATTTAAGTATAATTATATCATTCTCATAGATCTGCAATTTGCCAACAAATAAAATTAAGGTAATTAATTGTTATCCTCTACCTGGCAATCACACCATCAGAAAACAGATACAAGTGAACCTCTTGAAATACATTTAAGATACATATGCAAATAATTATCATATGGTACTTTTAGGGGACCTTAACGTAGATATTAATAATCCTAAGCTGCATTCTCAAGATAAAAGATTCTTTGCTAGTTTGAATAATCAATTTATTTGACACTTTTTCAGTCAAATATGGTATATAAAGGTCTGAATACCTCACTCATCAAGGTTCAATATCATCTTCTCATATAGATTACGTTTGATTCTCAGTCGATGTCATCTCAAACTTTATAGGTTGTGAAACAATTCAACTAGCATCCACTTTAACTGATCACTCTATAGTCATCCTTTATGTCGAAAAATTTTTGGATGTTAAAAATAATAAAAGGAATATTCCTTTGAAAAAGGTTTAAGACTATAACAAAATGACTGAAGATAAATGGTTAGCCTTCACAAATAAAACAGATACTTTAAATAATGATTACTATTTACGTTACCTTAACAATAAGATGGTACTTAATCAAAATAAGTTAAACCAATTTTGAGATCTCTTACAAGAATGTATCATTAAGGCTGCAGATTCCACAATTCCAATATACTAATTAAAAAGGACACCATACCATAAAGAGATCTCCTCTCCTGTTAAAATTGTACAAAGACTTTAAATTGCTATATAAACTGAAGAGATTGGTAAAGAAAATGGTGGTTACACACTGATCGAAATCAAAAAAATCGGCCATGTAATAAATCAGCCTAAAATTGGCCTAAAATCAGATATCATCAAAAATCAGCCAAAATCAAGCTATTCATTTATAGCCGATTTGGTATAAATCAAGAATCGACCAAAATTTGCCTGTCCGATTTCTAGCTGATTGATATATATCAAAATCAGCCAAAATTCAACCTATGCTGATTGGAATATATTAAAAATCAGTCAAAATTCAACCATCTGATTTATAGCCGATTGGAATACGAATTGGCCAAACTTCAACATATTTTATTTATAGCAGATTGGAATAATCAGATTTATTTGATAAATTTGGATATTACTAATTTTATCAATGAAAAAATAAAATTCAAAGAAAATTGCATTTATAGATGATATTTTCTATTAATAGAATTGATGGCCAAATATTCTTTTGAATTTCGTCGGGTTGAAATTTGATGGTTTACTGGTACAAATCGACCCAAAATATGATGAACCGATATAATACAATCATGACTTTCTGGGTAAAAATCGGTATCCCATAATTCGACATTACATGTTTCTTCATCATCGCGGAAATAGTATTGAATATTTGGAAAACCTGCAGGTTTATACCAGCAAATGTATACTAGAAAATGTTCAGCTGATCTAGACAGCAAATTGACTATATGAGTAAAATAATATTAAACTTGACCTGGGTAACAATCGACTGTGTTGTCATTTGTAATAAATTTGGCCAAAATGTATGAACTTTTCACATGTCGCAATAACATCGATGAACCAAAGATTTCAGAACCAATTCAGCACCTTCCGAATTGGTTTATTTTGACCTGAATTGTTATAGCATTTTCTGAATCCTCATCGAATGGCTTCCAAAATTCTAACATGCTATAAGTAGCTATGTAATATTCAACCATCAAATCAAGCATTTCACTTAAAAGAATTATATTATTAGATGATGGTTTAAGGAATTCACCAGGAGATGTTTTACTACTAGAAATATTCGATTCCCTAATGTTTTGTGAATTCATCCAAAATCAGTGGATTTCATCAGTAGAAAATTAGTCTTTATCCGATAGAGAACCTATAGAAAGATGATTGTCTAACAATTCAAGCCCTTTTACTTCAATGCTACCAGAACTTATAATACTATCGATTTGACTATCAAACATTAATCGACGCATTAGCTCAGGTTCGATTTTTCTATTACTATTTGGCAAAGAACCTGAAAATCGTAAAAAATGTTAAGTTGTTAGATATATAATGATTTATTAGATAATAATAATGAGTTATCTAATATTCCATTCATGCGTTCAAAAGAAAAACACCAGAATGCATATAACAACCCATAATCTATTGAGCATTCGTTCAAATGGAGAAAAAGGTAGAGATTCAGCATGATTTTGTTATAACCATGATTTTCTTCTATCAACTTTATTATTCTAATTAATCTTTTATAAGCTTCATGCAATAGATCTAATTCCACAATCCGATTTACCAAAATTATACAAATTCTCACGAAATTTGTAAGAATTTATCTATCTACAATTAGAAGATGTTCCCAAAGTGAAACAGTAGCTTATATAGTAAAGAATATTCACCACTGATCGGCTGTGAAATTAGAAAATCCCTCTCCTTCATGAATTTTATTCAGAATTCAACCTAAATCGGATGGAATTTGAAACTCATTCATTTTTTTCTGAATCTTGTTCAAGGAATTTTTTATTATTCATTATGCAATGCCTAAAAATAAGCAATGCATTAGATCGATTGTAATAAATTTTATAGGATCAAAATATGGTAAATGTAATAATTCGGACCATCTTACATCATTTTGTTTTACAAATCACTTTCGTAAAGCGTCTGAATTGCAATATCTCCATTCTAAAGCATTCTAACAATGTTCAATTAAATCTCGCATAAAAAACCAATTATCGAAATTATCCATTCCGGCAAAATTATGCTGCTGATTTTCATAATTCGCCTTCTTTTTACATCTATAATATGCCACTAATGCTGAAATATGACCACAAATTTTCCTTGCCGCAGGAATATCACATGAAACTAGGATTAATGCTGCACGAATCCTTTTACCATTTGTACATTCATTTGTTTGATTTATTGTTATTCTATCCTAAAGAGATTCCAATTCATCAATGATAGGTGCTAGATAGTGATTAATTTTATGTAAACTGACTTCGCTTGGCCTGGGTAAAAGACTGAGAGTCAGTAAATTTTCACGTTTGAATCGTATATCATGCGGCAAATTGCATATAGCAGCATATATTACTCCAATGCTATAAATAGTACCATCATATGGCTGAAACCAGTCAAGATTCAGCATTAATCCAAGGTAAGAATTGGTCACTTTATCTCAAAAAATTTTGGTGAATCATTCTTAAAAGATTCTTTTAACGTCTGCTATACTTAACCATCATATATGTCAGTTATAATGTTGTCAAAATACTGACGATTCGCCCAATGTCTTAAATTAATTTTAAAATGAAGCCGACAATACATAAAAGCGAGTTGTTGTCATATTCCACAAAAAGAAAGATTAAATTAGGTCAAATTATTATTCGATTTGTCAATACAGCAATTTTTTTGAGATAATGGTATATTGCAAAAGCGCGATTTGTGAATTGATGAATTGGGAAATTCTACATATCTACATTTCATTATAGTAAATATATTATCTTGTCTAAAATTTACCACTTCCTGTTTTTGATACAGTTTATGACATTTGGAGCAAGGAACGAAATGTTGAAATCTGTCTTTTATTCCAAGCGCCTTCTTCATTAAGAATATTGAATTTGGAAAGTCTTTAAAATCGTCATCTCTGATTTTTATCAAAACCAATTTCATAAATTTTATCAAAGCCTTAGTTGCAGACTCTGTAATGTTGAATCTTGTCCGAAATGATATGATCCAAATTAATATCCATAAAAATTGGTCATCATCAATTAATTCTGTACTTGGTGAATCTTGAAATGACTCATAATCCGGTGGTGTATAATCCTCAAATATTTCAAAATCACCATTATCATTAGATTCACCATCATTGGATTCACTTGTAACTTCATCTTCTTCAGTAGTAAATTCAGAAGATTCTAAAGGTTGATTAGCTTCGATTTCAGAATTATCAGAAGAATTTATACCAGATTTGAGACGATTTGTGTACTTTCTTACACGTCTTTGAGGTAAGAAAGTAGAATCAAAATCCTCTTGATGTTCATTATCAGATTCATGTTCAATGTTCTGCCTAACGGAAGTTGATGTTGATGGTTCTCCAGTTTCTTTTTGAATTCCAAATTGATAAAATGTATCCAAAATAGAACTTTGTGAATCTTGAAATCTACTTCTTGTATTATGAGATGTTAATGGCCTTGAAGTAGAGATAGATTCTTCATCAATTAAACTAGCAATCGATCTATTTCTTCTTCTACGA